ATTATCACCGTATCTTGTAACGGTTCGCAAAATCTAAGAATTAAGCGTGATAACCCGTCAGCATGGCCAAGCTTATTACATGGTAAAAATTCCAATTTGAAATCATAATTCAAAAGTATAGTACACCATCTCTGCAGTCGATTGGCAGTGTCGGTTGGCAAACATTTCTTTGATCCAAGAATTGTTATTAATGGGCGGTGATTTGTCTGTAATAATAAAAAAAAAACTTCTTTCATATATATATATATATATGTAAGCAAATGTAAATGGATATAGATCCGACAGAATGAAGAAAAATTTGGAAAAAACAAACAAAAATCCTTAAATGCAATTATGTTGTTTAAAATGAATGAAATGTCGACGTCTGACGTTGTCGTCACATGGGAAAGCGTCGCCCATGTGACGCAACGTGACCATGTTAAACGGAAAGCTGATCGGACAATATTCATTAAAATACAATTCAGTTGAATTTGACAAAGACGATGGACATAAAAAACAAGTCTTATCCAAAACAGATAACTGAAAATTTTTAAAATGATCAGCTTTCCGTTTAACATGGTCACGTTGCGTCACATGGGCGACGCTTTCCCATGTGACGACAACGTCAGACGTCGACATTTCATTCATTTTAAACAACATAATTGCATTTAAGGATTTTTGTTTGTTTTTTCCAAATTTTTCTTCATATATATATATATATATATATATATATATATATACTACTTATGGAATTTCTTTACGGCATAAATTATTGCCAAACTCTCCTTCTCGAATTGAGAATATTTTGTTTCAGTAGGTAGTAGTGTTCTAGACGCATCAGCCCCTGCTTTCATTGTTCCATCTTTCGTATTTGTACAACATTACGGCCACCATTACCATAATTGCTGGCATCGCAAACGACAATTATCTCCTTACTAGCATCAAATTGCATGTCAAAATTTCTTTAATTTTTTCAAAGGATTTTCGTCACTCGTTGGCCCAGTACCATTTAGGTCTTTTTTTAAGAAGTTGTTTAGTGGAGCTCGTATAAATACTTTGTAAGAGTTAGCAAGCTCTAAAAATGCTTGTAATGTTTTAATATTTTTCGCTGCCGGTATATCCTTAATTTCTGAAAATCTAGCAGGGTCTGGAACTCTACCATTTTCGTTAATTATATGACCTAAGTATTTTATTTTTTTCATAAACAGATCGCATTTTCCTTCACATGATTTGAATCCAAAATCATTGAATATGTTCAATTCAATATGTTGTTGAGTTTGTATTTTTCGCTTTTTATTAGAATATCATCTAAATATGCGATAGCAAAATTCAAATGTCCAAGCCTCACATCCATGGATTGTTGAAAAATATCCGGGGACACTTTTACCACATAAAATAAACTATCAAATTTCTGGACCCCTCGATGGGTATTAATATCGAGAATATTAGAACACTCATCTTCCACAAGTATCTGCAAATATGCGTCCGAAAAATCCAAATTGGGAAACATTTTCCACCGCTTAACTGGGTTGAAAATTTCTTGCGATTTCGGGATATAGTACGAATATATTTCTAAATAATCGATCAATCCTGAGCTAAAATCTGCGCAAATTTATATATTTATATATTTATATATATATATATATATATATATATATATATATATATATATATATATATATATATATATATATATATATATATATATATATATATATATGTATATATATATATATATATATATATATATATATATATATATATATATATATATATGTATATATATATATGTATATATATATATATGTATATATATATATGTATATATATATATATATATATATATGTATATATATATATATATATATATATATATATATATATATATATATATATATATATATATATATATATATATATATATATATATATATATATATATATATATATATATATATATATATATATATATATGTATATATATATATGTATATATATATATATATATATATATATATATATATATATATATATATATATATATATATATATATATATATATATATATATAGGAGGCACGGAGGAGTAATGGATAGCCGAGTTCGAATTCCATTTGAATCCATTACATTCACTTACGTGCTAATACCCTTAGGAAAGGTGTGAATCCTCTTCTTCTCTCTCCATCTATGGGTAAATACCAGGACAGACTGGGTTCTATAGCCTTGGATGGCAACTGGTCTTGGAGAAGGAGAACTCTGAATCCTAAACCTTGCGGAGGGTCGTTTTGGGGATCTTGTGGCACTTAGTGCACCAGGTCTCTGAATTCGGCCCTTCAGAAAGTGTGGATGGTCCTGCACGAAACCTTCACCACTAAAATCAAATCTCATGTGCTGTTGTCGGGCTGTCGGTTTCCTGGGAACTGATCCACGGGAGAGTCAATATATATATATATATATATATATATATATATATATATATATATATATATATATATATATATATATATATATATATATATATATATATATAAACTCCCCATTCGGAATAATTTATTTTAGAAATTACTCCCATTTTATCCAACCTATCAATTTCACTGTTAAATGCATTGAGTGCCGCAAAAGGAACATTCCTTTTGGGGTTGAACACAGGTGCAGCGTTTTCCTTTAGTTTAAATTTTGCAATTATTTTTTGCATCTCCCTAGAATTTCAGGAAAAAAAAAACTTACAGGTAGCGATTTTTTAATTTTTTCAGAATCAAAGGATAAAACTTTTATTCCGTTACAATATGAACTTATTGGAAGGTATGGTCCCATAAGTTAAACTCTCTCATCCAATCAGTCCCAAACAGATTACTGTTTCTTCCCATCACAATTTTATTGTTTTACCCGAAAATTCTACAACACAAATTCTCTTTTGATTTTTGATATTTTTTTCTTTCCCGTGACACCGCGAGCAATCTTTTTTGACAACGTTAAACTTGGTTTACCCAATTTGATCCATATATCTTCATTTAGTATTGTTAAATCCAACCTTGTATCATGTTGAAACTTTACAAGTTTTCCATTAATTTTAGTATTAACATATTTACGTTAATTTGTGCCGCGAATCGAGTCCGGATCGACTGCTTGAAATTGTTCAGTTGAAATCATATTTACTGTATTTCTAAATTTCCTTATTTTTCTTTTGATTTGATTTTCAGTGTGACTGTATATGTCCTTTTTTCCACACACTTAAAACAATGTTTGTTGTTATACGGACATTTTTTTAAAATGTTATTTTCTACAGCCATAACAGGGATTTGACTTAACAATTTTTTTCTTATTTGTTCCGCTATAAAAACGGTTAGGTATTTCAAAATTTCTCTCTCCTTCCTTGATGTCCTGCGTGCATTTCGAAGTTTTCTCTATCTACAGTTTTTTTAGTGTCATACCTAAGATTTTCTATTGTGTTACATTCCTCAGTTACTTTCTGGGGGGGGGGGGGAAATTAATGTTTTGCTAAAGTCTTGTTACAATTCGGGCGCGAATTTTAGCGTCTTTATTCGCCGTAAAGCCCTGGACACAAATTAAAAATTTACCCTAGAACACTAACCATGGGTATATAGTACCCAGCGCATATTTTCCTATTTTTAATTACAATTTTTAGTACCTGATTTTCTTACCTAAATAATGTTTTTCAGTTCCTATTAATGTTAACTCAAAGTACAAAGTTTGAAGTGTCTGCATGTAAAATATTTCAAAATTGTTGGTTAGTGTTCTAGGGTTAAACATATCGGTGCTTAATTCACTGAGTTTGAATTTCTCACATTGAAGATTAACTCCCGTAGAATACGTTAAGGAGTCTTCAGGGTCCTTTTTTTTACAAAATTCAAACAATTCCAACGGGTGTTAAAAAGTGAGTTTTTTTTTTAATAACAGAATTATCTCTTCAAATGTGATATCCGCAGGTTTCTTAGGAAGAAACATGTCATTTACATATTTCTCATATTCCACAGGTCCTAATTTTCGTAGCAGTAACCGAGTTTTTCTTTCTTCTCTCCATTCAAGACAAGCTCATCGAAATGTCCCCATGACGCCTGTAATACGAGGAAAACGTTATTCCTTCGTCAGGATTATAGTAGTTGAATTCACAAATAGAATTTGCAATAGAATATTGAGTAATTACAATCCCTTCGTTATCCTTTTTTTTCCAAAATTTCTTTATATTCTTGGTTCTTGTATTCCTGCAGCTGTTGTTGGTTTAAACACATTTCTTTCATTTGTTTCATGCTTTGTTGTTGCTATTTTAATAGTTCCAGCATAAGAGTTTTAAATTCCTCCCTACTGACAGAAATTATTTTATTTAAGTCGAAAGAAAAAAACCCTCTGTACCTTTTATTCCGACGTTCTTTTCAAGTTCTTAACTTGTTTTTAGTTCTTACTAAAAAAAAAAAAAAAACCTTCTATCTTTGTGTCGCCAGACTGTTGTAACTGAGTTATCAAAAACAATATTAGAAAATCAGAATTGGTTTAACAAGTTTATTACATTTTGGTACAGGGAAACACAATGAAAGAAACTAGTGAAAAGAATTACTACACCCCCCCACAAGGCAGGATGTGGCACAAAGCCGGTTTTTATGTGGGAGCGATTTCGAGCCCGTAATGCATAAATTCTCTGCAGACACCGAATAAACGCGGTCGGGTTTGTCTATCTCCCCAGACGAGACGCAACCCTTTAGCATAGCCGCATCTGGTTTCCTCTCTGCCAAGTCAGCAGCTAGTCTGACAGTGAACTGCCTGACTCAGCAAAAGCTCGCGTTACTCCTCTTGATGTAGGAGCATTTTTATGCCTTTCCTTCGACGGTCGAGACCAAACTTGTAGGGAAACATTCTCTCTCACAATAATAATAATAATAATAATAAATAGAACTCAAGAACTAACTGATGCAGCAATGTTTATGAAAAAGAAAACCAAGGATAAAGCGCTTAAACAGATGAACCAACCCTGGCAAGACAAACCTCTTCATGACCAATATCAAGAACGTGCTAATAAAGACGGAAGGAAGCGAGAAACTCCCCGCCGGAACCGCTTTCGCCGCGACACCTCTCCCAGAACCGGTGCCCTCCCACGCGCTCTCTCGCTTTCGCTGCGCCTTCGGGGTTCTTCGGGTCCCCTACGACTCGCGAACGGCCAGGACTCCTCGGTCCGTGTTTCAAGACGGATCGGGTGGGTTGCCGATGCACGTCGCGGACCCGAGGTGACGGGCGGCACAGTCTGACGCCGACCTACTGCGCCGGCAGAGCCCTCCCGCGCG